CCTAACGATTCAGTGAATCGACAGCACTCAGTGCTCAAGAGTAGCTACCTCAAGGAGGTGTTGCTAGCTCTTAGTGATCAGTGATCAACGATCAAGACGGCTCGCAAGCCACGTGTCCTTCAGATCAAAATTGGAACTGATTTTACTTTTGTTAAAGCCTATAGAATATCTTAATCCTACTCAAAGATCTTTCGTACCAAATGGCTGACACTCGTCAGCCCCTACAAACCAATAAGATATTCTATATCACCTTCACAAAGGGGTAACCTCAGGTGTGTAACGCCTCTGGTACAAAGTACCATAATTTCGTGCAACCCCGTTACAGTCTGCCTGATCAGCACTGATTCTTAAACCCACCGTGCTGCTCAAGCGTCGTGCTTTTTGTCCACAGTGGACGAACCCCTTTTCCTATCTATCGGGCGGCTCCCCGTATTAAAAAACAGTGGGGACACGCCTGACATCTGTGTGACTGGAAAACCATTACCTTTCTTCACAAGACTTTCATTGTACTGAACTTAAGTCAATATAGTAAGCACCAGATACCTTTCGCGTAACACCTGTAAGCGACTTAAGCGCTTCAGACGTAGTTGCCTCCGGACCTATGGTCCACGATGCCTATTTTGACCAGTCGTTTGTAGGAGACGTTTCTCCGCACTGAGAGGCGTGAACACATAGTAAGTGAGACTTTCGAGTGTCCATACAATCTGAGATTTGAGCTGAGCGCTCTCTCGATGTTGGAGTACCGTCTTTTCTCCTCGTAAAGAGGGTTCGTGATGATTTCCGACCCTGTACCGGGTGTCGCGTGCAGAATTGTTAGCGCATTCTCAGCCCCACATTCGGGGAATTAATTTGGTGCCTGTATTAAATCGTTGTCTAGCACGGGTTCATCGAATGTAGACTCGACATCACTGCCATTGTCTAGTTACCTCTCCTCAATACCGACAAGGTTGGTATGAGCCGAACGATCATTTGTCGTTGCCATATCTGACACGTTAAAAAACTGTGAGGTTTACTGTTCGCCAATGGCCTCGATGAGGTAATAAATCGATTGAAGTTGTTCGATGACGTCAGTATGGTAGGCGAGGGTGTAACGAAGTCACACGACTGATACCGCCATAGGGGGTGAACCTTGTATATTTGATATACAGTCCCAAGTTTCATATGTGACAGTTGATGTGGTTGATAAACTCAGTCATCCTTTTAACGACAGAATGATGTGCCATCCATCAATCCTTAATATAACAATGATTACGATGCGAATTCGCTTAACCTTAGTATTAGGTAGTTGAATGAAGCTTATTACCGATAAAAATAAAACACGTTCATCCCCATTTTTGTATTCGATCGCCAAACGTCTAGTTTAGACGTCAATAGATCGTTGTAAGAGTCACCTTGTGGCGTATACTCTAGACCACATTGTGCGTACGATTCTTAACGTCGTTGTTCGTTCCTTGAACCAGGACTAGAGACTTACGAGCTTGCAGACTGTCCAAGTCGAAGTTGATCGGTTCTAAAATCTGAAGAGTCTATAAACTAATAGAACTTAGTTTTGTGGAACTAAGTGACTTCTAGAGTCGCAAGTCTTCCTCTGACTAAAAGTTGTATAGCTTCAATAAAATCCAGTGGAAGCAAGGCATTTTTGAAATTAACTCATATCTTGACAATTGATACTTTCGGACGCTGTAGAGAATGGTGAGTCACAAAACGCTAACCTGTGAGCAGAGACCCCAAATCACTTCAGCGAATATTTTTTCGATAATTCTGGATGCTGGACGACACTCCTGGTTGAATTTTGGGACGGTGAAACCCGTCAACACGTTTATTCGTAATCAAATCTGGCACAGATTCCATGGAATAAACGTCTACTGTCAACAAACTTGGCTAGCGATGGCGGTCGTGAATATGCGTCGAAAAGAGTTAGAATCTGGGATTTTGGATCTTTGAGCTAAGCTCATGGCGTTGTTAGGTGTAACGGTACTTAAATGGGGAACAGATGTTTGCATCAGAGACTAGGCGCTAGCGCGTCTCCTCTTCCAACCTAAAAAATTACCTTGGACACAACACACTTTTTTTCTTTGACAAGACGCAACTTTTTGGACGTTAGGTCAGGAATAATCGAGCATTCAAGGACGATAGAAGTGCATATGAGGTACCAAACGCATCCGATCAAGTCAAAGTCGGTATGCAAGTATATATTTAATGCGGGATTTAGAGCGTAAAAAGCAATCAAGAGAGATCAAAGGGGAATCAATCAGCGCAAACTCAAGATGCGTGCGGCGCTTTGTAAGCGGAATTGTGGCACTTGCTGCACAGAATAAATTTCATGCACGCTATTTAATTATTTAATCCCCTGATCGCCTAGAGAGTGCAGAATATTTATAAGACAATCGTTTATTCTTGGGATGGCTCCCAATTGCGTCACCTTTTCATCTGAACCCGGAGCTAATATATCAGCATCCCACGTAAGGTTTGCGGACAAAGATTTAAAGTCTCTTTCATTATTTTGATAAACCAGCCATCCATTTCTCTTGTGTGAGATTTCCGCTGCATTACAGCTACGCATTTCCAGACAATCTATTTATCACGTTATCGTATCTCCCAGACTACATCGATTATCATATCCGGACCCTGACACTGTCGCAATCGCATCCGAAACATTACACCAAAAGCTGCACCTTTTGGTCGACTCGCAACACTTTTGCTAAAAAAATACAACAGAATAATCACTCGGTATCTACACAGCCGAAAGGTTTAGCTGCAACCAGCATGATTCAAATTGTGGCATTACAGGCAAAATGTCTCTGCAAATGTGAGTTGTGTCATTTCAAGCGTAATCAATGAACTGAACCCCCCTAAGCTGAAGCTGATGTGGCTAGTCGTACATTTGCATGGACGGTAGATTACAAGGCGTTCGTGATTGCACCTAAGAGACACACCCTTTAAAGACATACATCTTTACAGGATTTCCACGGTATATGGAGCCTAAGTCTCTCGTCGAGTCAAGCTGAGAGCTTTCGAATGTCGATGTAGATCATCAAAGCCCGCCCAACTAACAATAAGAGTTCAATCAGAGAGCTTTCCATTTATTGTTTGACATGCACTGAAGAAAAATATTTATGGTAAAACAATCCTTCGGTCGTCTAAGACGTTAGAATTTGTGGCGTTAATTTCCCAATTGCATCGCGTTCTCGGGTCGAAATAGCATTCTTTATTCCTCGGATTATGGTTAATCACGAATGAACTCTTTTGCACAAATTTTCCACAAAAGCTTGTCAGCATCTTTTGTAGGGTGTACAACTTGTTCCCACAACGCTAGAGTCTAGGGATTATGCAGATGGTCTAAGCATATGGAAAGCGACACCCAATCTTGTGAACTAGAGGTAGACTGTAGAGTCCACAAGCAATGGTTAAAAGTACCTTTAGAGCCACACAATGTGCTCAAAGTAGCATGCCCTAAATTCTTAAACTCTTTTGCTAAAAACGTGAACCCAACTTTGTTTTAAATTTACATGCGGTTATAAACCTGCCCTAAGTATCCTGCAATTAGGTAAATTACTTGCTATGGTAATCTTAATTCTGTAGATACAGTTGACGGGTGTAACAACGGCCACCCATCAACGGTTGTTGAGCTTCATACTGATGTGTCGGTAAAAAAACAGGTCTGCTCTCTTACATATTTGAAAGTATTTGATAGTATATGTTGAAAATTGTTATTTTGTGTTGGGGTCGGACTGAGGTGTGCGATAAAAACTAGCAAACTAATGTGTTAATATGGCACCGCTTTGTCAAGGTTGGAATCGTGGGTACTGTGATTGAAATGGCAAATCCGTGTGAGGAAGCTAGCGTTACTTTACGATAAGCTTCCGCATTGGCGACAATTGCTCATTTGATTATACGAACCATGATATCAGCCAGCAAATCCCCTTGTTAAGAAAAGACTTCCTGACCGATAGTGATAAGTTTGAGCGAGCAAAAAAGAGGGCAAGGAAATGAGAATAGCTCTTTTTGAGAGGTACGTAGATCTAATCGTCGGGCCTTTGGTCAGTCCAAAATTGATTTCCGGCGATGATGTCGATGAAAATGTATCGAAAGACGTCTACGTGTCGAAGTCGTCTGAGCGTACGACACCCGGTTTTCGTGCAGCAACGATGTCTGGACTACGCCCAGCTCACGAAGCTAGGTGGTTCGGAAATCCTTTGGCCACAGTGGACAGCATAGGCGTGCAGGTTGAAATGCAAAACCAGATCCGAAGAAGTCTGAGTACATGTGTAACGTCAATCACTTCCTTTTTACGATTTGAGCACCCTTTGCCAACCGAGGGTGCAGTACTCTTACATTGGTCGCATGACGTAAAAACACTGGATTGCACAGCCCTCCTTCTGTTGAAATCAGTGCGTAGAAGGTATAGTGCATATTGCTTCCTAGTGTACTAAAATATGTCGCTGAAAGCCCGACGACACTCGGACACATGATGCAGCCTAGGTGAACACAAGAGCGAGCAGATCAGAACGGCAATAGGACGTTAAGGTTTAATCGCAGCAAACCGCCCGCACTCATGTATACGGCAGAATGCGACCTAGAGGACAACGAGTGTGGTGACGTAGTTGCCACGGTTTAATCAGACGACGTTTGTGAAGGTGCGCAGTTGGTGTCCAATCCTGAACTCGAATCAACATTACCGGTACAGTCACGCGTCTCGACTGAACAACGGCATTGAAGTACGGAGTCATCAGAATTGCTAGCAGGTCGTCATTCCGTGATTGTCGGACGTAGCAACGAAAGTTCAACACGATGCATTGGACTATTTCTGACTGTCTCGGTGACAGGCAAAACGTGGCGCATGCATCTTCGTGACTCAGATTCACCGGGAGCGAGACGAAAGACGATGAGCGATTCCGGGAGATATCGAGGGTGTGTCTTGACATTTGCCTCATTCTCAAATTCACTTTGTTGCCTGAGGAGCTGCTCAACAAGCACGTGTTGTAGAGTCGCGGAATACCATGATGAGACTAGTATCCCTCATTTTTGCAGGCTTTACCGTTTTCAGTGGCCGTATTGCTGCAAATGAGCCGTCCTCCGATCAGCAAATCCAGGACCGAGTCAAGGGGCTCATGGCGACCATGGTAATCACGTCCCTGACTTCACCTGAAGGGTTTTGCGCTGACAAGCTTTGTGTACTTCGTGCAGGACTTGGACGCGATGCTTGGCCAGATGACGCAACTGGATGTGACCACGATCCTGCATCCGAACCGCACCCTCAATCGTGCAGTTGTCCATGAACACGCGAAACTCAATGTGGGCTCGTACTTGAACACGCCTGGTGCTGAACTGAACGACACAAACTCGAACTCGACCTACAATTTCTCCCCCAGAGAGTGGCGTGAGTTGATCACGGACATTCAAGCCATCTATGCCAGCCACGGCAGCCACCCTGTCATCTATGGAATCGACTCGGTCCATGGGGCTAACTACATTCGTGGAGCAGTACTTTTCGGACAACAACTCAACGCCGCTGCAACATTCAACCCGGAGCTGGCCTACGAAATGGGTCGAATCACTGCCCGAGACACCGGAGCAGCAGGAATCCCGTGGTTATTTGCGCCGATCCTTGAGATCTCGCATAACCCTCTTTGGGCGAGAACGTTCGAGACTTTCGGAGAAGACCCTCACCTGGTGTCGGTTATGGCTGACGCTGTCATTCGAGGTATCCAGAGCAATGGCACTACGGCAGCATGCATGAAGCATATCATCGGGTACTCAAGAACACCAACAGGCCACGATCGTGCAGGCGTCACAGTTTCCGACTTCGAGCTCCTCAATCGCTTCGCACCTCCTTTCTTGGCTGCCATTAAAGCTGGTGCCATGACTGCCATGGAAAGCTACATTTCTATCAACGGGGTCCCGGTTGTTGCCAACACCAAAATCTTGAGAGATTTAGTGCGTCACGATATGGGCTTCGACGGACTCATCGTTACAGACTATGCTGAAATCCATAATCTCCACGCATGGCATCGAGTTGCTAAAACGGATCGAGAAGCGGTCCGAATGGCGCTGACGAACGCTCCGTTAGACATGAGCATGGTGGCACTCAACACGTCATTCGTCGATATGGCTCGCCTTGCCGTTCAGGAGAATGCCGAGCTGATGAACCGTGTAAACGAGTCGGTCCGTCGGATCTTCACGACCAAGGTAAAGCTAGGTCTGTTTGACAACGCGTTACCAGGAACGGAAGACGATATCGCTCTCGTCGGCGGAAGCGAGAGCCAACAGGCAGCACTGGAACTCGCACGCGAGTCCATCGTTTTACTCAAAAATGAAGACGGAATCCTTCCTTTGGGTGCGAGCACTGAGGTCTTCCTGACGGGACATGCGGCAGACAATGTCGGTCTCTTGTGTGGAGGGTGGTCTCTTCGCTGGCAAGGTGTGTCGGGAAACAGTCTCTTTCCAAACGGCATCTCGCTCCGCCAGGGAATCGCAAATGTACTGCACACGAGTTCTGGCGTTGTCCACTATGTCAACGGTCTACACCCCAATGGCTCCTACTCTTCGGCCGATCTCGAGGAAGCCAAGTGCCTTGCAAGAAGATCGACTTACACGATTGTCGCCATTGGTGAGGGCGTGTATGCAGAGAAACCGGGCGACATAGACGATTTGAACCTACCGCTGGGTCAAGTGGAGTATGTTCGCGAAATTGCTGCCACCGGTACGAAGGTGATCCTCGTTCTGGTACAAGGACGTCCCCGGCTGCTCCAGGGTCTTGCTGAAATTGCCCACGCAGTGGTATACGCTATGCTTCCTGGTGAGCTGGGTGGTCAAGCACTCGCTGACGTCCTATTTGGACGTGTCAACCCGAGCGGACGACTTCCCATTACATACCCGAAGACGTCAGCAAACATTGCGATTCCTTACAACCACCTTGTGAGTACGCGCTGCCGTGACGAAGGGTCATGCAAGATGGAGTGGAACTTCGGACACGGGCTCAGCTACTCTGCGTTCAAGTATGGCAACGTTTCGCTGAGCAGGACTACCGTACCAAACAGCGGCGACACCTCACTCGAGGTCAGCGTGGCAGTCACAAACGCTGGCTCGATGGCCGGAAAGGAGACGGTCATGTTGTTCCTCATTCAACCATTCCGCGCTATTTCCGTACCGGAGGCCAAACAGTTGAAAAGATTCGCGAAGATTCATCTTCAGCCAGGTGAGACGCGAGTGGTGTCGTTCACTCTTTCTCGCGAAGACTGGGGTGTGCTTGACCCGCAGATCGGCTCTGGATTCCACCGCATCGTCGAGGCAGGCGACTACTTTGTTGCCGTGAAGCCTGATACGGAGTGCGACGTCTACGGCGGTATCAAATCGACGCCCAACGCACTGTGTGCACATTTCACGGTTCAAGACATCTAAGCTCGATCGATTGAAGCGATCGCTTGCATGACGAAGATGATCCTCTCCGTTCGCATATAACCAATGCTATTGATTCGAACACATCTGGCCATCTTATTTGCTAACGCTAATGATCCGAGTCCTCTTTCTCCGACAGCATCTTCGTCTCCAGAAAAACTGGTGGTGCTAGCTCCAAAAACTCCAGAAACAGTGGTTGAGCCCGTGTGTTGGCACACCGCTTGCATACTTCGCTGAGGTAGCCGTGAAGCCCGATCACCTTCTGCTTCAAATAATTGGGCTCAAACTTGTTCCACATCCGTGTCCCGGGTAATGCGGGTATCTGTTCATGTTGGAACATTTTTCGCAACTGGCGGTGCAAATCGGCAAACTCGGAATATCGTCGGTGAACGACGCTGCTACCTGCAGTAGATGACGCAACTTGGATAACGAAAGTCACATACTCTTGATAGTTCTCATCCTGCTTGATTTTGTATCCTTCGATCTTGGTCTTAAGCCATTCACCCGCTTTGTTTGCTCTCTGGTCTCCATCAAAGTCCCCCTTCGAGCCTTCGTTCATGATCAGCACCGAAGACGGACTGTTTTCTAGCAAGTCTTTGTGATGAATAATGTTCACCATGGGGATCCTTTCAAGCACTTCCACCCATTGGTTAAACGATTCTTGGTCTAGCACTCGCATCTCGCATGCAGCTCCTCGACGAGCGACTACTCGAATTAGATATTCGCGCTCATAACAGAACGCCTTTGTTTTCTGAAGTGAGAATTGCCCAGCAAAGTCAAGCTTTGGCGAGTTTTCGTAACAAGATAAATGGTCGTCTCCCAGCACGAGCCATCGGTCATTCCACGAATCATACCACCCATTGATGGTTTTTTCTTTTACAAAACCAGCCTTGGTTGCGTTAAAGTAATCGATGCTCTTTCCGGTTGGGAGATCGACAAGGTTTACAGTATCTCGAGACGCCTTGCCACCAAACGGGTCAGGAGCAACTCTAGCAATCGTTTTAACTATTGCATCCATCCACGCATCCCGAACTTGCATTGACGAAGCCTTAAAAATGTGTTCGTCATCAAGGGTGGCATTGCTCGTGGCGAGTGGAGCAGTGGTTTCACACGCTACAGTAGATGATTGGCTCTGAATAATCTTCATCGTAAATGAGTCTTCACCGCACATAACTTTTGTCGTCGCGGTCAACTCAAGTCGCCACTTCCGACGACAGGCAACTTCGTTGAGCCGTGGCAGGAAATATAGGCGATCTTTGTCGATTAAAACGATTTGCTCACGCGATAGACCCGTACATCGATCGCGCACGAGAGCTGTCGCTGACAATAGTATCGTGGTGTGCGGCGTCAGCTCCACGATATTCCTCGCAAGTTTTGGCAGAGGGACCCGAGCACTCATGTACCGGTGCAGGATGTCAACCACTGGATGACACAACTGCATGAGGGTGAAGAGGACGACGTCGTCACTCATCCAATACGATGAGTGGGAGGCAGCCGCAAATGCTACTTCCATCATACCCTGTTCATGTTTTCGACGTCGCATGACGTAGTCATGGCGATACGGAAACCCATGCACTGGACTTGTTAAACCCTCCCATTCCTCCTGCAATTGACCGAATGCTTGACCTTTCACCGCACTATACTGCACGTTGCACATGGTTAGCATATGTCGTTAGCGAGGCTACAGGTTGTTAAACAAGAAAGCGTGTGTTGCGACAAACTATTCACAGTACCTGCAATAATTGCACTGGTTCCTTGTCATGCATTTCTTGCTTAATCAATGGTTCAATGCGGTATGCGACCGGGTCGATCGGGTGGTAAACATTGAAATACCGTCTGCAAGCAGGAATCTTGATTCCAGGCGTGAACTTACCCTCATCAATATTGAGGTCCCCTCTGGCCAATATCATTACTCCCACCGGGGATCTGCCCAGAGAATCAACAGAGTAAGCCACCACAAAAACATATCATCGAGAGTATCGACAACGACAATCCTCACCCGACACCGAAGAAATTGTCAATTTCGAATTCAAGACCAGGAAAACACACGCCATTACTGGCGACTTCTCCCGGCTTGTGTGTCAGGATATCGTACGAAATCATTGAGCCAAGCGAGTGAGCAAATATTGATACTTTGCCGTCCCAGCCTATTCGCACAAATGAGGTTAGGCACAAGAACCAAAAACACAGATGTATGTCCATTCAAACGCACTCGGGTGTTCGTTCATGAAGATACGGTACTTGTCGTTGAGCTGCTGGGTAACCGAATCCACAATCAGTTGTCCGTACCGTGGTGACAAATAGTAAAGCACGTCCATGAAAGTCTCCTTATTAAACTCTCGGATGCTAGAAAGCCGCAAAAACACACACGTTACACTTCGTTTCGGAATAGAAGCCACAATATAAGAGTAGAGCCACATACACTGACGCTCCTTCTGGAGAGATCAAATCGAAAATATTGTCCAAGCCCGTAGGCTCGTGAAGATCTTCGTGCCACTCGATGGACTGCATTTCAAGGGCCATCGGAATATCTTGAAACGTTGTTTCGAGCATTCCACGGAAAATGTCGCGAAAGGCATGGTTGCCACCTTCAATCCCCGTCTGCTCGGTCCAGGACTTGAACTCTCCATCACGAAAGTCGATATGCTGTCCGATCCCGTGGATAACAAAAACAAGGTGATTGAACGACCGAAGTCGGATCTGCAAGCAGCCCACATACACTAATGAGCATTCCAATACTGCCTACTACAACAAAAGCTTCACCTGGAAATCATACCGTAGAAGGATATTCTTCATCTTCTTCGTCACTAGAGCCAACTTCATCAACATTTGCAATCATACAGTGATACATCAGTCAAAAAGAATATAGCCACCACATTCTCCTTCGCTGACGGCGACGCACTGGATGAAGCCGAGATTCGTGACGAAGACGCCATACTGTAGCTCTTATTGCGAAACGAGGCGATGCTCGGTCTCGCCAAATCTTTTTGCATATGTTCATAGTGTGCCTTTAGTAACGGTACTCTCTGTGCCGCTTGAGGTAGCAGCCGAGCAAAGTCCAGAGCAATCGAGTCCAATATCGGAGGTGGGATGTGCTGCGCCAGATAACCGTAAAAGGCCTCCACTGACTGGTTGCCCAACCCAAACTCTAGAGCGATCGCTTTAAATCGCTCAAACTCCTCGTGATTCTTCAGTGCGTTCTGCACCCTCTGCGTCACGTCGTTATTCAGCGCCTCTGCAGCTTTTCGGCTTTTGACAGGTTTTACATCCTGAAAACCCGTCTCTTCCGCCTCGTCTACGTCTTCCGAAGAGCTGCTGCACTCGTCCGAGGGTACAATTGAAGAGCTACTTGACATCCTTTTCAGTACTGAATTAGCACGCACAAGCGCAACACTCTCCTGAACCTTCAGCTGATACATTTCCAGCGTCTCATTCAGCAGATTACGCAAGTCTTCGAGTGCGCAGAGGTTCTGCCACACTGTCTGACTGGGAACTGTAATCACGTGCACGTCGCTATCCTCGAGCTCGATCGTTTCCTCCCCGTCCGCCTCGAGTGCTTCTTGGTCTTCCAGTAACTTTTCCGTGTGCTTCATGAGCTCGTTCACTTGCCGCTTGTACTGCTGCATGTAGTCATGAGGAAAGAACGTGCACTCGGACAGCACTTCAAGCGATAACAAGTCCATAGCTGATACTGGAGTGCGCCAAAGGAGCGAATGTCGAAGATAAAATCAGGATACTTTCGACTCAAACAAATCCACTGGATCGACGATGCAGGAGCGCTATCCGGATTCCGTCATCCAGGTATACTTAGTGAGATTAAAGCTACTTACGTACAGTGGTTCACTTTTTGCTGTCTATCCAGACCATGTAGTCGTCGATGAGCACGGGCCAGGCCTCACTTTCGTCGTAGTTTGCGTACGACTCGCGCACTTTCACAAAAAAGTCAAACAGGAGATCCCACGTGTCGCGTGTCACGCCCTTTACGGGTTTCTTCTCCGCCAAAAAGCTCAGCCAACTCGCTGTCAGCTTCTCAAAGCGCGGCCTCAGCAAAAGGTCCCACATGGCCACAGCAATGTCAATGCTGAGGCTCTTCTGCCCGGGCTCCTTGGAGAAACCGAAGCAAAAACAGTAGAACTGTCTGAACTCCGACTCGCTTGCGATGGCCTTGCGCAGCTCAGGGAGCTTGGCTTTGAGCTTAGCGACCGAGTCACAGTCCATCTCTCGCATACCCTTCTGCCACTCTCGGCGTGTGAACGCGCACATGTAAGCCGCCTGCATCTTCCATGCAATCACCAGTACTACGACGTCCTGCGGGTCCACGCCGATGTCCTCGCAGAACTTGAGAAGACCCTCCTCGTTGATGACATCCTCATCTTCGTCAGGGTCTACAGCAGATAGAAAGTAAAAGTCAGCACATAGACATTCAGCAGCAGCAGCAACCAAACAAACGAACAACATATCGCACCAACGTAGCGATCGAACCACGCATTCACCGCTTCCATGGAAACCGTCGACTTTCGACTAGTAGCGTTGACAACACCAGTACATGACCACGTCAGTAAAAATACTACTGACCCATTCTCATTGTTGGCGTTGGATTGCACACGCACACTGGCTTGAGACTCTCGCCTCCATTGGCGTAGAACTCGTCGACCGCTCGCATCAAATCCCAGCTGAACTTTTCCAGGTACATCTTGGCCACCGAATCACTAAAGTAAATGAGGCAGCAGACGTTAAGTAGACTGTATTTATACCAGACAGGATAACATCAAACAGTCGCAGAGGGACCCCTGCATCGTGCAGCTGCAGTCACGTACTTGGCGTTGGTCGTGTTCTTGAACGCCTGCAGCTTTTTCTTCTTTTCGTTCAGTAATTTGCCCGACTGAAGCAGTCAAAGTATCATATAACGAAGAGAGTATACAACGATACACTCGACTGACGTTAGGTGGTGAACCGAGAGGTTCGAACCTCGTGGTGGGCTCCGCGGAAGAGGACTTACCATTGTACGTGGCGTCTTGATGCTTTTCAGCCTGGTCACCGGACGGTGTGCACCACATAAAGCAGCAAGGAGGTTATTCAGAGGAGATTCCACAGGCATCGAGTGACATTGGTCAATTAAAAATTGTGGCGATGTATTGTCATTATTTGACTAAATGAAGAAAAGTCAGTACAAATGAGTGAAATTCGCGTATACTAGAAAATAAACGCCAACATGGGACGGAGCCACGTGCGTACTCAGCTACACGATCAGATCCACCGCGTTGCGCACGTAAACCGTCCGCTATTGCGCACACGTGACGATGCCACGCTACTACGGCCAGAATACCGAGGACCCCGTTTCCAGTTGCGACGCGTCCGCTTTTCGTGATACCGGTGCAGTGCACGTTTTTGCTCCGCTGTCTTGGAACTCTTGCACACCCAGCACGTCTTGGAGTCGTGAGCGTACTTTGCCATCTTGACTTTCTCCTTCTGCGGGGACATAGACTGCTCGAGCCGTCCGACGTTCACGGCACCTGCAGCCAGCATAACTACGCGGTTGGCCGAAAAAGACAAGTCGATTCGAGGCACTTGGATGATCGGAATACGCGAATCCAGATTCGGGAACACTGGTGTACGGATGCAGGACCGAGGGTCCAGCGGAGCCATCGTCGCCCAAACAGGGGTAGAAGGGATGATCTGGGTGTTGGAGATGTCCACGACATTGTCGCTAATCTCCACCAACTCTTCCGTTCTCACAACTTCGTCTTCATCTTCATCTTCGTCGTCGTCATCAGAGTCAGAGACCGCTGCCACCTCTGCCTCTCCCTTTAGCACTTCATACGCAGATGATAGATCGTTCACGTCCACCACACTGTCGTCCAAGCTTTCGATCCAGGTTCCGTCCAGAGCATCACAAGGTAGCGGAATGTCTGATCCATCCACAAGACCCTCGAAAAGGATCGACAGTTCGTCTACATCGCGTGTCATTTCCTCGTCGTTCTTCTCCGCATATCCCACCATCAGCTGCTCCAGCTCTCGATCGTACCAGCTTTTAGCGACATCATCTCGACACAGCTGCGCCTTTATTTCTTCAGAGCCATGCAACATAGCGTCGGCTAGCACAGGCATCGCCTCCTTCCTCTCCTTCTTTTTCTTTTTGCTGCGTAGGTCACTGCACCACTCCTTCTTCGACTCTTGTTCTACCGCTTGTCGTTAATTCTTCATCCCAGGGATCCATCCTTCTAACTCCGCACGACCTTGTCCTCCTTTCTAACGGTTCGTTTGCTGTTCAAACGCATGTACCAACTTCTCTACGTCCACATTCATATCGAGTACGGACGAAGAAGCTGAGACTGATCTTCAAGATATTGACTTGACTACCATGCGAAAACACACACCAACTTAGAAAGACATAGTCTCCCTGTTCGATTGCTTTCGTAGGCTGCTTCCTTGCTACAGGGTGGGGGGAGGGGGCCACGTGCGGCTGATTGGGTTATGAACCACTGGACGAGATATTGGTGGTTGTCAATGACACGAAGCGGTGTAGTTGAAATCAGAGGGTATTTTAATATGCAGGTACATTTGCAAGCGCATTGCAAGGTCAGTATCGTCGCACGTAAGATTCGATTTCAAAGTTCGAAGTATCATACAAAACACATGTGTGGGTCACGTGTGACAAGCACTGCGTAGCCACTACTGCGTCTTCACATTTGCTTTTCTATGTCCTTTTGACGCCAACACATCTATCCGTACACCGCAACTTCTTTCCTCACCTGACTGCTTTTCACGATTTCTAAAGATGTCTTCATTTCTATTCGATTGCTATTTCTTGGTCGATTTGTATTCTAACATTCTCCAACCGATTCTCAAATATCACGTTCAGATTCCAGCAGCCATGGAACGATACCAGCGCATTGAGAAGGGCGGCACCATTGGCGAGGGCACGTATGGCGTCGTGTACAAGTCGAGGGACCTCAAGACGCAGAAGGTAGTGGCGCTGAAGCGTATCCGCCTGGAGACCGAAGACGACGGCATTCCGAGCACGGCACTCCGCGAGATCTCGGTGCTGCGGGAGCTGGAGCACCCGAATATTGTGAGGTAGGGCCTTTTTAGAGTGAAGGGCGTACACTGGCGTACATGATGTATGGCCTGACACGCTTTGATAGCCTTTTGGACTGTCTGCAGGAGGACGGCAAGCTGTTTCTCGTGTTTGAGTTTATGGACATGGATCTCAAGAGGTACATGGAACACAACATTGGCAAGCTCGAGCTCAGTCAGGTCAAGGTACGCAGCAATGGATCGAGAAAGAGGAGTGGATACAGAAGTTTATCGCTAACGTAGTGCTGTGGTTCCGCAGAGCTTCCTGTACCAGCTGCTCAAGGGTCTTGCGTTCTCGCACTCGTGCGGCATCATGCATCGGTGCGTACATTTTTACACAGCCTGCTGGTTGTAAGTCTAATGGAGTGTTTCTACTGTTTATTTACTGCTGGTGGCCGTGTTGCAGTGACTTGAAGCCGCAAAATCTATTGGTGAACGCGAAAGGCGCGCTGAAAATCGCCGATTTTGGTCTGGCGCGAGTCTTTAGTCTCCCGATCAAAAAGTACACGCACGAGGTGGTCACGCTGTGGTATCGGGCTCCCGAAATCTTGCTTGGTCAGGAGGTCTACTCGCCTCCTGTCGACATCTGGTCAGTCGGCGTAATTTTTGCCGAGATGGTTTTGAAGAAGCCACTCTTTCCCGGTGACTCCGAGATCGATCAGCTTTACCGTATTTTTAGGTGGGTGAGCACTTTCTTGTTGCAGGGGGGGTTGGCTGTGCATAACTGACATGTGGCTGCAATTGATCTTAGGACTTTTGGTACACCGAATGACACATCATGGCCAGGCGTTACAAAGTTGCGTGACTACGCGCCTACATTTCCGAAGTGGAAGAGGAAAATCATGTCCGAGCTTTTTCCTCAGCTAGACGAGAGTGGATTAAATTTGCTGGAGGTACGGTCGTCGATCGGTGTAACGTGCTTTAGACGTCCTAGCTAACGTTGTGTTGTTGATGATTGGTTGTAGTCCATGTTGCGCTACGATCCATCCACGAGAATCAGTGCAAAAGAGGCATTGCGCCACCCATATTTTGATGACGTGGATTCTGAGTTTATGTAGGCTAGGCTGGACAGCACTTGCAAAGAATAAATATGAGGCGCTGACGCTTTCGATTGTGTGTCATTCCTGCGAGAAGCTACTTTCGATGTCGCACATTCATGAATGCCATTCTCATGGCGTGTCCGTGTTGATTGTAATACCATGTGTGTTATTTTGCGAGTCGAATCCCCATTACTGCCACGTTCTTGTTCCAGACGTGAGTCCGATGCCCAATTCAAAGAGGATCGGCACTGTACAAAATGCGTGGGGTAGGCCACCACCTCACCTGTGCTCCTGTACAAGAAATTCCAATCATGTTTCTTGTCGTAAACAGCATTTTTTTTTAAAACGAAAAATAATCCGAACGAGTGGTGCTGAAAATGCTACGTCCAACGTGCACGAGATGTCTCGAGACGTAGCATGTGGTAAAATACATGTAGATGAGCATCAGATGATGACCGACCAATTTGCATTTATTTGATACCGAATGATAGTCCATGTATACGCCGAGGTTAACGTTGGGCCTGTGCTGCCGTTCGTTACTGCCGTCAGGCTATGTCTTGACAGTCGTAAACAGCACTGTAACGAAGAGCTCTATGTCACCGCTTGCACGCGTGAGAGCAGTTCAGCTGTCACCTGGACGGCGTACGACTAATTGTTTTGTCAAAGGCTGCGCTAAAACAAGCTCTAAGAGCGGTCACGCATAGCAAGTACTGCAAGAAAATGGCAGGCATTCCTCAGGTCAAATAGCGCATATTGTAAGGCGATCGATCCCAGTGATCCTGATCTTCATACTGAACCATAGCGCTATGGACTATGTACAGTATTCTTCACTATTCACTTGCACGCGTTCAAATGCCTATACGCCCGACTCATGTGCAACGTCGACTTTGAGCTTGTTCAACTGACCGCTCTGAAACACAGCGTATCCTATCATCGCACGCGTACACCACCACGAGGTCAGTCTTGCTGGACTTCGTAAGGAGAAGCAGGTCTGGTACGACGGGAGTGGGATTGCGCCAAACGTCTGCGTGTGTGTCCCTTGTCAAAAGATTGGGATTGCTCCCTTTGGCTTTCATGACAAGACCAGCTCGTGATGCAAGCGACCGCAGCTGATCGAAATGACGTCGTCGTCCTGAGCACAGACGGTCGTGAACAAAGCCGCTTCACGAGAAAGGTTGCAACAAATAGCTACGTAATGTGCGGAGCACCTGTTCATTTCGATAGCCGCACATGCAGCGAAAATGCCACTGCCACTGCGAAGAAACCGCGTGAGTACCAGTCATGGTTAGCAACGACATGACGCAAATGCACCACAAAAACGATCCTTCAGCAGCTACATACACCAGAAGCCGTCGTCTGACTGTCGCAGTCTGACATCGAGCACTAATGCTCTCCAAATGCGCAGCCATGACAACTGAGCCCGCTCGATCTTGCATGACGACGTGTCACCAGAATGCACTTGTGTGGTTGCGCCGACTGTTGCCACAAACCATCTGTACTGGTCTTGGTGTGCTCAAAGCGTTTCAGCCTTGAAGCCAGTCGTCGCGAGATAAAATGGGAATGGTCTCAGCATGAACACACAATGTGCGGTCCTGGAATCGCTTCCAAAGTACTCAACTCCTTCACACCAGCTAGGTAACAATACAAGCTCCGAGCAGACAAGCTCAGCCGGTCAATCGCTCGTGTTGACCTTCCAACAACGTCTGTGTCTCGTCATTTCTCGATCCGCTCGTACCCATCGACACCCTTCACCATTCCAACTTGACCCACGATCTCAGTTTCTCACGCACACACGATCACCACAGCAGTCAACAAGATGAAGTCCAACATATTGCAGCAGAACCTCCACATCGGCCGGCTCTGGTGAGTTCCATTCGTGCATTTATTCTCGCATCTCAATGGACTGAAATACGGATCCTCACTTGTCTGGTCACTTTTATGATGGACACTAGGCTATTCGCTACTGCATGTATCGCGCGCATCGTGTCGATGGTTTCAACCGCTACAAAGCGGTCCCTAGTCTACTGGTTCCCGAATGCGCACATCTCTCGAATCATCCAGTGCGCTCGTTTTGCATGGGGTTTCTCGACGGTTCCATTCGTCGACATGTTTCAGTTGATCCGGTACGGTGCAAAAGTAGTCGCACTACGCACGATTTGTCGTCGAACCGCACAGACGATGGACAACTCGCTTTGCATATTGCAAGTCGAAGCGAACCAAGAACAAACCGACGTGATCGCGTTCTCGCTGCCGACATCTTGCGCTCTACCGAAGTGTGTATCTGGAAGTCTTGATGACAAACAAGCGTCCCCGTCAGCGGAATGCACTCGCTCGCCCTCTGCTGCTGCGTTACCACTTCCGTCGCTATCGCGCGACAGTGCCAACCGTCTGGACGACAGCTATGACCTCCTCGCAAGTCAATGGACTCAAATGGTGACGGAGACACGACAATTCTACGCGCAGATTGCCAAGCTCCAGTCGTCGCTCGTGGGTCCCGACCCGAATCCATTTTGATCCAGGAGCCGGTTTTTTACTTGACAACGCACTGTTTGTTGCAAAATACTACTTCCTCGATATAATGCTTCCTCGAAATACTACAATCTCTTGTATGCATTGAGCCCGTCTCATTCGATCGTACATTCACATGCTGCTATCCACCAACATCTGCGAGCACTTCCACTAGTGCACGTGGCCCTTTAACGGCGAAGCGGCTGGCATTCCAACTCGTGACCTTCGGCTCGATTTTCTTCTGGACCTACTCTCACTCCGCGATACCCGTGGCTGTGATGACGCTGGCCAGAAACATGCAATCAACGTCCGAGTCCTTCTGACTGTCCGAGTCTGCCACTTGTTTCATTCTGAGGATTGCGACTGCGTCCCGGCATTGCTAGTATCCGTCATGCCTTGCTAGTATCCGTCATGCCTATCGAGGGGAGAAATAGAGACGCGTTGCTGTTCAAACTCATCGTGAGTGCAATGTGTGTTGGGACGTTCATTCGTTCTGGACTTGACGTGTTCTGTTGCCTTGATGTGTATCTGCAGCAAAAACTCTCGCGCACAGTTTACTTGGTATAGATGTTTGACGCACATCATCGCGCATCCGGCATTTACATGGTTAACAGCTCTTTGGATCTACCCTCGACCTCACTTCATCGTCGTCCGCGTGTCTTACGCGGCCCTGCGCTGATCCCGATTGGCACCACATGGACGTATGTCAAGAGGTCGTGCAGCAAAGCAGCTCAATCTGACAGTCGTCTCCGCTACGGCAACAGACTTCGCAACTGTCTGGTGATGATGCGCGCACCCAGCTTGCTCGATTGCAAAAGTGGTTAGGCCATGCAGCCATGGTGATATTTGGCTCCGGAGATGCACGTGCTTGCGTCAGTTTTCTCCGAGACAGCGCATGCACGAATATGCGTTTCCAGTGCCGCCATGCAACAAGGTCTGAAGCATGAGCTGTCCTTTTCGCATGCAGCCTTCTGTGAGAGTGTTATCCTCTGTGTTGATGAACGCTGCTCACGATGGTTGACCGGATCAATCTCACTTCGTGTCCAATCTTTAAACCGAGCCATAGCGCTATGGACTATGCGTAGCACTCTTCACGATACACTTGCACGCGTCGAAATGCCTATACGCCCGACTCATGTGCAACGTCGAGTTCGGGCTTATTCAATCGACCGCTCTGAAGCACAGCGTATCCTATCATCGTACGCGTACACCACCACGAGGTCAGTCTTGCTGGACATCGTAAGATGAAGCAGGTCTGATACGACAGGAGTGGGATTGCGCCAAACGTCCGTGTGTGTCCCTTGTCAAAAGATTGGGATTGCTCCCTTTGGCTTTCATGACAAGACCAGGTCGTGATACAAGCGACCACAACTGATCGAAATGATGTAGTCGTCGTCCTGAGCACAGACGGTCGTGAACGAAGCCGCTTCACGAGAAATGTTGCAACAAACAGCTACGTAATGTACGGAGCACCTTTTCATTTCGATAGCCGCACATGCAGCGAAAATGCCACTGTCACTGCGAAGAAACCGCGTGAGTAACAGTCCTGGTCAACAACGACATGACCCAAATGCACCACAAAAACGATCCTTCAGCAGCTACATACACCAGAAGCCGTCGTCTGACTGCCGCAGTCTGACATAGAGTACTAATGCTCTCCAAATGCGCAGCCATGACAACCGATCCCGCTCGATCTTGCATGACGACGTGTCACCAGTATGCACTTGTGTGGTTGCGCTGACTGTTGCCACAAACCATCTGTACTGGTCTTGGTGTGCTCAAAGCGTTTCAGCCTTGAAGCCAGTCGTCGCGAGATAAAATGGGAATGGTCTCAGCATGAACACACAATGTGCGGTCCTGGAATCGCTTCCAAAGTACTCAACTCCTTCACACCAGCTAGGTAACAATACAAGCTCCGAGCAGACAAGCTCAGCCGGTCAATCGCTCGTGTTGACCTTCCAACAACGTCTGTGTCTCGTCATTTCTCGATCCGCTCGTACCCATCGACACCCTTCACCATTCCAACTTGACCCACGATCTCAGTTTCTCACGCACACACGATCACCACAGCAGTCAACAAGATGAAGTCCAACATATTGCAGCAGAACCTCCACATCGGCCGGCTCTGGTGAGTTCCATTCGTGCATTTATTCTCGCATCTCAATGGACTGAAATACGGATCCTCACTTGTCTGGTCACTTTTATGATGGACACTAGGCTATTCGCTACTGCATGTATCGCGCGCATCGTGTCGATGGTTTCAACTGCTACAAAGCGGTCCCTAGTCTACTGGTTCCCGAATGCGCACATCTCTCGAATCGCCCAGTGCGCTCGTTTTGCATGGGGTTTCTCGACGGTTCCATTCGTCGACATGTTTCAGTTGATCCGGTACGGTGCAAAAGTAGTCGCACCACGCACGATTTGTCGTCGAACCGCACAGACGATGGACAACTCGCTTTGCATATTGCCGGTCGCAGCGAACCAAGAACAAACCGACGTGATCGCGTTCTCGCTGCCGACATCTTGCGCTCTACCGAAGTGTGTATCCGGAAGAATTGATGACAGGCAAGCGTCCCCGTCAGCGGAATGCACTCGTTCGCCCTATGCTGTTGCGTTACCACTTCCGTCGCTATCGCGCGACAGTGCCAACCGTCTGGACGACAGCTATGACCTCCTCGCAAGTCAATGGACTCAAATGGTGACGGAGACACGACAATTCTACGCGCAGATTGCCAAGCTCCAGTCGTCGCTCGTGGGTCCCGTTTTGACTTTTGGCAACAGCCAAGAGCGAGTTGAGGTGGGAGAGCTTAGAAGAAGGTAAAATGGAAAGTGAATTATCATCTAGCTAGGTCCTTAGTTCGTCTCGTTGTACTACTCTAAGCCTATCGATATCGACTCTATAATATTAGTAACAAAACGATGAGTCGATCCCATCGTTACACACTATCACACAGTGTCGTCCATGACATATGGTCATTAGTATCAGTAACCAACACCGTTACCAATACTCCCCCTCGACTAGAAGTCTCTGATCCTGGCCTTGTCCAGCAGCGACTCGAACTTCTTTGTCGAAATCGGTTTGGTCAGAAAATCTGCCAGCTGTGACTTGGTTTCAGTATACTGCAGGTCGATAATCTTGTCTTTCACCTGTTCGCGCACAAAATGGTATCTGATGTCGATATGTTTCGCTCGACTTTGATAGCCGTCGTTCTTAGCGATAGCGATTGCACTCTGGTTGTCTTCGTGAATCTTGACAGCATAGTTAATCTGCACTTGCATCTCCTTGAGTAGACTTCTTGTCCACAGAACCTCCTGCACACATAAAGAAAGAGCCATATACTCTGCTTCTGCCGTGCTCAGTGCCACGCTCTGCTGCATCTTCGACTTGAAAATCACAGGTGCGCCATTAATCATGATAAAAACTCCCGAAATCGATCTGCGATTCCACTTGTTACTTGCCCAGTCTGCATCGGTGTACGCGCTCAGCTGAAGATTGCCTGAAACTCCTTCATAACAAATTCCTTTGCTCTGCGTCGTCTTCAGATATCGCAACACTCGAATCGCTGCATTCCAGTGCTCTTCATGTGGAAATTCCAAATGACGACTCAGCTGACATACTGTATACGCAATATCTGGTCGTGTGCCTGTTGCCACATACAACAACGACCCCACTAACGATCGATACGGTCGATTCTTCATTCTTGTGTCAGCTTTGTCCATCTTGACCATCGCTTGCCCTTCAACACTTGGATTTGACACTGCTTTCGCATCAACTTGATTAAATTTCTCGACCATTCTTGATATACACGATCCTTGACTGATCTTCAGACGTCGATTGTTGCGCAGGTACTTGACTTCGATTCCAAGAACGTATCGAACACCCCCTAGTATCTTCAACTGGAAACGACTTGATAGTTGAGCTGCCACATCTTCCATCACTCCAGTAGATTCAGCCCCAATTAGAAGGTCGTCCACATATAATGCAGCGTAAATCCACGAGCCCTTGGTCTCTTTGACGAAAATGCATGAGTCTGCCACGCATGAAGAGAACCCCATCTCCACAAACACACACGAAATTGTCTTGTACCATGTAGCGGCCGCTTGTTTCAGCCCATACAGACTGCGATTCAGCTTAAGCACTTGATTATGCTCTGCACGAACACCCAGAGGAGGGTATACGTATACCTCTTCTTCCAAAACGCCATACAGAAAAGCAGTGTCGACATCATATTGATGAATCAACATCCCCTTTTGACAGCACACCGCCAAAAACACCCGTATTGAGTTGAGGTTTGCCACAGGTGAATATGTCTCCATGTAGTCAACTCCATACGTCTGCCTGTAGCCAAGTGCTACAAGACGTGCCTGGTATCGAATAATCTCACCCAGCTCGTTTCGTTTGAGTGCGAACACCCACTTGGTTCCAATCACTTTCTGGTTTGGACGCTGTGTTTGAACAGTCCAGGTGTCCTTTTCCTCTAATGCCTTGAGCTCAGCTTGAATGGCCTTGTACCAATTATCACGACGAGGTGACTTAAGAGCTTCTTCGTATGTCGTTGGGGTCTCGAACGCTGCACATGCTTGCTCATACCCAATACGTAGTCTCTTTGTGCCTTTTTCTTGACACACTTCTGAGCCGTCATAAAAGTCCTCATCAGCACCATTCACTGGTATTAACGCTTGAGATTGTCCATGTTGAACCGATTCTAGTGGAACCATCGCGGTTTCTTGCGATGCTTGAATACTTGTCTGTCGACTTGGTCGTATCACCATCTGTCCTTGTCTTGACACGTCTTCAGCCGATTCTTGATCTTCTTCAATCATCGTCACATCATCAATTTCAAACATTGGATCGTCAGCATTGGAACCCACGTGTTCAGGCATCTTGCTACTGCATCTTGATGGTAGAGCCATCGTTGTTGTACGCCTGTCTTGCATGTGACTCTCTTCTTGAACACTGTGACTGTCCTCCATTGCTATGTCCATGTCTTTCGTGACTCGTGGCTGTTCTAAATCGATAGAAACAGTGTCTTCGTCATGAACAGCGCGAAACTCTTGGTCACTTGATCTGCTGTAACGTTGCACGTACTGAAGTGGTGGTCTCTCATCGAATTTAGCCGATCTCGTGTGCGTCACCCTCTTGGCATCTTCATCCCATATTCGAAGCCCCTTGATTTGATCCGAGTAACCTAGAAAAATACATCGAATCGCCTTCTTGGTCATCTTGGTCCTGTTCGACTTGTCGACATGTGCATATCCCTTTGATCCAAATACACACATCTCGGAGAGGTCAGGCTTCTTCCCGAAGATGAACTCAAATGGAGTTTTAGTCGGGTGACTAGCACATGGAACTCGGTTTGTCACATAGACTGCCGTGTTCATCGCCTCAGCCCACCAAATTTTATCCACTTGCATATGGCTGAGCATTGCTCTGGCCCGCTCTGTCAGTGTCCTGTTCATGCGTTCGGCCAGCCCATTCTGTTGTGGCGAATAGGGTACCGTCGTCTGATGCATGATACCAGATTTTCGACATACACCGGAGAAACGTCTGTTGACGTATTCCGTCCCGTTGTCCGTCCTGATACACTTGATCTTCTTGGACAGTTGATTCTCCATAAGTGCCTTATACTCTATAAAGCGATCCGTCACTTCCGACTTGTTCTCAATATAGTATGCGACTATATATCTCGAATAATCATCAATAAAAGTCACGACAAATCTTGATCCTCCTCGAGACTTCGATTCCATAGGTCCCATGACATCACTGTGGACCAACTGCAACACCTCCTTGGTTTTCACGTGTCCGTATGGTGACTTCGGAAACGTCTTGACGGTTGCTTTACCCATGATGCACCCTTCGCAGATCTCGATATCATCTTCAACGCCTTGATTCTTCTTGATCTTTAATCCATTGACGCAACCTGCCATACCCTTGAGCATCTTCGTTGACAGGTGACCTAATCTTGCATGCCACACTTGTAGATCAGCCGCTCCTGATCCGTCACTTGATTCTTGCTCTTGAGATGTCTCTCCGCAAACGTTGGCTACCTCAGCCGGACTGCACTCTAAGACGTACATCTTGTTTCGTCTTGGTATTTGGGCAACGACTTCCGTGTTACTTCTGATCTGACAGCTCAGATCTGAGAAGATCACTTGTAGACCCCTCTTTGACAATGCCGATATTGACAGTAGCCGTCGGTCTAGGCCCGGCACCCATAGCGTTTCTTCGATCCTGATCACTTCACCAGTCTTGAGTTGCACGCGCACTGTCCCAACACCTTGCGCTTCCACTTCGCTGCCGTCTGCTATGGTGATCATGATCGGGTCCGTCAGTGAGTTTAAATTCGAAAACTCATTTCTGTCGGGACACATGTGGCTGCTTGCCCCACTGTCCAATAACCATCCAGCTGACGTCCGACTTGACGCAGTAAATGCTCTCTCTTCTCCAGATCGCTCTGTCTCCACTTGTTCAGCCTTGCAATCTTGACGCTTGTGCCCATATTTGTTACATCGGTAACACCTTCCCGAAAACTTTTCACCTCTTGAACTTGATCTCCCCATATGTCTGCGCGGACCTTTCTTGTACTTGGAAGTGTGCGTACTTTTCAGTGCGATTTCTTGGTGTTCTGTCCTCGCCATTCCATCGTACTCCCGTCTCAGCATTTCCTTAGCGTGAAACAGTGTCATTCCGGGCATGTTCTCAATTATCTTGACGATAGGGTCATAGTCTCTCGTTAGACTACCCAATAGGATGACCAAATGCTCATCCTGTGAGATCTCTTGTCCCACAGCTTGCATAGTCATGCACAGCTCGTCAAATCTCAGGAAGTGATCCATGATGCTTCCTCCCTTGGCCAACTTGAACTCATGTAGTTGCCGCCGCAACTGCACACGATTGTGCATACTTTGCCGCAGGAAGAAAGTCTTCAGTATGTCCCATGCTTTTGCCGTTGTCTCTGCCGTGCGCACCATTGACTGAAGATTTGTGCTGATCATTGTGGACACAATCGCGAAGGCCTTCATGTCGTTGACTTTCCAAGTTGACGCGCTTGCGTCTCCTTCTTCTGGGGCCTTCATAGCGTCTAGGTGCTCTAGCAATCCCTTCTTTGCCAGCCTCATCCTTGCGTTGAACTCCCACACGAAGTAGTTATCTTCGCGGAGTATGTCGCCCGCATCCGGCGTAGTTGGGCTCATAACCTTTTGACTTTTGGCAACAGCCAAGAGCGAGTTGAGGTGGGAGAGCTTAGAAGAAGGTAAAATGGAAAGTGAATTATCATCTAGCTAGGTCCTTAGTTCGTCTCGTTGTACTACTCTAAGCCTATCGATATCGACTCTATAATATTAGTAACAAAACGATGAGTCGATCCCATCGTTACACACTATCACACAGTGTCGTCCATGACATATGGTCATTAGTATCAGTAACCAACACCGTTACCAATATCCCGACCCGAATCCATTCTGATCCAGGAGCCGTTTTGTGGTTGACAACGCACTGTTTGTTGCAAAATACTACTTCCTCGATATGATACTTCCTCGAAATACTACAATCTCTTGTATGCATTGAGCCCGTCTCATTCGATCGTACATTCACATGCTGCTATCCACCAACATCTGCGAGCACTTCCACTAGTGCACGTGGCCCTTTAACGGCGAAGCGGCTGGCATTCCAACTCGTGACCTTCGGCTCGATTTTCTTCTGGACCTACTCTCACTCCGCGATACCCGTGGCTGTGATGACGCTGGCCAGAAACATGCAATCAACGTCCGAGTCCTTCTGACTGTCCGAGTCTGCCACTTGTTTCATTCTGAGGATTGCGA